CCCGAGGTGGGGCTCGATCCCAGGACCCTGGGACCATGACCTGAGCCGAAGGCAGACGCTTAACGACTGAGCCACCCAGGCGCCCCATACATTCATGATTTAAAGAAAAACTCCAAGCAACTGGGAATCGAGGGGCATTTTGATCTAATGAAAAAAAAATCTATGAAAATCTCTACAGCAAACATCACATTTAATGATAAAATATTGGAAATTGTTCCTCTGAGTCTGGGAACAAGGCAGAGATGCAGCTATCACTATTTAACACTGTACTAGAGGCCCTAGTTAGGGAATATGACAAGAAAAAGAAGATAGGAATTGAAGGGGAAAAAACTTTAATTATTCGGGCAATATAATTATATAAGCAGAAAGGCTGAAACAAGCTACAGCGAGATTATTAGACTTAAGTTTGCTGGGTTCAAGAAATATACAGACATCAATTGTTTTTCTGCACACAAACGAGAAACAAACTGAAGATTTAAAAACATGCAATAGCGTAAAAATATTAAATACCTAGGATTATACCTAATTAAGGATGTGTAAGCTCTCACCAGAAAATTACACAGCATGACTGGGAATTATTAAGACTACCTGAATAAACAGAAGGTGTTATTTTATTTTTTTTTAATTAAAAATATTTTTAAGTAACCTCTGTACCCAGTGTGGGGCTTGAACTCACAACCCCGAGATCAAGAGTCACATGCTCTACTGACTGAGCCAGCCAGGCACTCCACAGAAGATGTTATTTTAAATTACCTGAATACACAGAGGATGTACTGTGGTTATGGATTAGAAGCATCCATTTTGTAAAGATCTTGGTTCTTGTCCAGTTGATCTATAGATTCAATGTAATGCCCATAAAATTCCAATAGGTTTTAGAGTAATTCTAAAATTTATATGGAAATGCAAAGGCCAAAAATAGCTGAATATCAAAGAACAACAAATAGGAAACTTGCTTGACCAGATACCAAGTCTTAAAAAACAACAAGAAAGGCATTGTGATATTGGTACAAGATAGAAGAATACACCAAAGGAGCAGACCCATGCCTATGTAGATGCTTGAATTTTGACAAAGATTTTCTCCTGTGTTTTCTGCTAAAAGTTTTATGGTTTCAACTTAAAGAATTTGTGATGCATTTTGAAATAATCCTTGCATATGGGGCCAGATGTATAACAAAGTTCATTGTTTTGCATATGGAAGCCATTATTGGGGGGAAAAAAAAAGATGCTTTCCCTTTGATTGTTTAGATACCTTTGTTGGAAATCAGTTGACCATATGTGTGTGGTATTATAACTGGATTCTTAATTCTTTTTTATTGGTCTGTGTTTTTCTTTATATCCATTCTGCACTCTTGACTACTATAGCTTTATAATAAATTGTGAAGTCAGGTAGAGCCAGTCCTCTCCTTTTGTTCTTTTTCAAAGTTGTCTCCTTTGCATTTGCAATAAATTTTGGAATCAGCTTGTAGGTCTCTACAAAAAGCCTGCTGGAATTTTGACTGGGATAGAATTGAATCCATAGGCCAATTTGGGGAGAACTGATATCTTACCAATGTTGAGTCTCCTGATCATGAACAGGGTCTATCCCTCCATTTACTTTGCTCTTTCATTTCTCTAAAAAATGTTTTATAGTTTCCCATGTACAGGTCTTGCACACTTTGTGTCAGATTTCTTCCCAAGTATTTGGTATTTTTGAGGTGGTTATAAATGGTATTTTCAAAATTTCACTTTCTGATTGTTGCTAGTGTATAGAAATGCAGTTGATTTTTATATAGTAACCTTGTCTCCTTCCACCTTCTCCAGCTAGATGCCTCCTATATTGTGAAGCTTTTCCCAGCTCCCTCAACTTCTCCCTGCCCTTCCTCTTCAGTATCACATGCAGGTCTTTATCCCCAAGTCTAGCCAGTTGGATTGGGGCTATTTGTTTCTGTGTCTGCCTCCCCCATCAGACTGGGAGCTCCTTGAAGCTGGGAGAGGCCGGCCCTCTTTGGTTCAGCTTCTGGCCACTAGAGTCCAGCCCAAGGTCTCACACACAGTAGGCAATGAGGAAAGAATGAATAGCTGGATGGATGGATAGATGGGGGAGGGAGGGAGAGAGAGAGAGAGAGATGGGGAAGAAAGGATGGATGGACAGATGGATGGATGTGCATTGTGCTTGGATCTGCTGAAACTAAACCAGCCTCTTTTTATTTCTGAATCTACTGCAGCTTTCTGCATGCTACAGTGGTCTACATGCTGCCTAATGTCATCAGTAGACCACAGTCTTCGTAATTAACATTGCCCAAGTACTTAATACGTGCCATATGTTCTGCAAGCTCCTTGCAGGCATCCTCTACCTCCTCTCTGTCCTCTCTCTGCCTTGTTCCGGATGTTCTAGCCATTCTTACCTCTCTGTTGTTTCTCAAGTCCATTAAACATACTGCCTCTCAGCACCTTTGCACTTGTGTTCTCCCCTACCCAGAACCCTCTTTCCTCAGATGGCTGCCTGGTTTGTTCCATTACCTCCTTTAAGCCTCTGCTCAAAGCCTTCCCTGACCACTGTGTCTCAAACAGCCCCTACCCCCACCCCCCTGCTCCACTCTCCATATCTCTTACCTGGCTTTCTCCATTTAACATAGCAGGCTCATTCTCCAAGCTCATTACATATTCCTGCCCATCCTCATCTGACTTTTCGCACCATACTCTAGCAAAGTACCATGAGTGGTTAATGATAATGATGTCACATTTATTGAGCATTTACTGTGTGCCAAGCAGATTGCCAAATGCTTTCCATAGATGAACTGACTTAATCTGCACAACCCCCCCATGAAGCAGGTGCTTGTTTTCTGAGACAGGCTCAGTTATTTGCCACCTCTCCCTGAAGCCCGCTCAGCATCCCTGCAATGTGGTCCCGCTGCTGTGCACGAGGCTCATTCCAGGGGAGCTGTGTGCCAGTCTGCCTGATTTCCTGGGCTTTCCTTCTGTTTAGTTTTGTAGATGACAGTAACAAACTTCTGCACATCAAGATTGAAGATTCCCCGGAAGCCAACATTTTCCCCTTTTTACGGCACCTCTGTCACTTCCTTGGTAAGGAGCGGTTGGCCTGTGCCCAGGGGCCAGAGGGGCTGTGGCACCTTGTCCACACGGCTGTTCCTGATCAGGACAGCCAGCACTGAGGAGAGGAAGGGCAGGGCCCAGCCCAAGCCCCAGGACAAGCTCAGCCCTCAGGAGCCCTCGGCCATGTGGACAGCCACACATTTACCTCGTGGGACATGGGGCCAAATAAGAGCACCAGATTGTCGATTGAGTGCCCCATGTTGTGGCCCTGGCTGAACCACTAGGACCTCTGGGGGCTGGCCAAGCCCCAGTCCTGGCCTCGCTGAGCCTCTTGGGCAATGGGCGCGTTGACCCACCATGGGTGCAGGCGTTCAGGGAGGCCTGCTCTGGGCTGGGCTCTGGGGACCCACAGGCGAATCGTGTTCCATCTCTTCCCTCCTGTCTGGTCTGCGGGGTGGGGTGGAAGGAAAACTCTGGAACCCTCCCAGCCCTGACTTCCATGATCCCTGGTTGTGTGCACAGCGCCCCTTCGGCTCTCCCACCACACATGGCAGTGACTGCTCATTGAAGGTGGAATTTTCAGTCATTCTGGGGCCAGGATTCCCCAAGGAGAGCAAGATGGGCTGGAGAGAGTGAGGTCGAGTCAGGTCCGCACCAATGCGGCCCCAGCTCGAGGGGCCGCACGGGAGGCTGGAAGATGATGTGTTGGCCCAAACATCCCTTATTTGCCCAAGAGGTTGCAACTATCACTTGACTAGTATCTGAGATTGCAACTTGCCACGTGTCTGGCCACGGGATGGCAGAGCCCTGTGGCACAGAGGGCCCCTCTCCAGCCCTACCTTGCTGGGTGGCTCTGGGCCAGTCCTTAACTGCTCTGTACCTCTGTTTCCTTGTCCATACGATGAGGCACTTGGCCTTCATCATCTCAGGGTCCTCCTCCAGTGCTGACAGTCTGTGATTTCGCTTTTGATATGTTTATCTCCAGTTCTTTTTTTTTTTTTAAAGATTTTATTTATTTTTGAGAGCAAGAGCGAGAGAGTGCACAAGTTGGGGGGGTGGGGAAGGACAAGGGAGAAGCAGGCTCTGAGCCCAATGTGGGTCTCGATCCCAGGACCCCGGGACCATGACCCAAGCCGAAGGCAGACACCCAACCAACTGAGCCACCCAGGTGCCCTGATACGTTTATCTCCAGTTCTTGGGGGGACTGGCCTAGGAAGCCAGCTTAGATTTCCTCCCACCTCTGTCGGCATCCAAGTGCCTGGGGGTGGGGGGGAGTCGGGTCGGGGGGAGCATCCTCTTGTCCCACCCAGGGAGGCCAACTGGTAGCAGAGCTTCCTGGGCTGGAAGCCTGGGGAGCCAAAAAAAGGCCTTTGCAGGGTAATGCTGAACACCCAGTGTGATTCTCTTGGACTGCCAGTGAGGTCTGAGGGTCCCCGTTTGCCAGGTGACAAAACGGTGTCCTAGAGAGGTCACGGGATTAGCCCAGGACATGCGGGCTGGGTCTGAACTCACTCCTGGACCGTGGGCCCACTGAAGCCAGCAACACACATCCATGAGCCCCACTGCCTCCCCGCCCCCCTCCCCACACACCTTTCCTTCCTCTTGCAGAAGTTCACCTCCGGCTTGGCTCGGTCATCCTGGTCTTTTCCACCCTGGGCATCAGTCGCAGCTGTGCGGCCACCTTGGCCTTCCTCATGCATTGGAAGGAGCAGACCTTGAAGGTATTCATTGCCCGGTCAAGGCTCAGACTGCAGCTGCCTCCAGCAGGCAGGGTCAGAGCTGGACCTGGGAGGAAGGGGGCCCTAACTGGGGGGTGGGAGGAGAAGGATCTGGAAAGGGAACTCCCAAGTCCAGTGCTTTACCCAGCATACCACACCCAAGGGCGAGGTCCCAAAGATCTGGGTCAGAGGCTGAGGCTGTTGCATGGCCTATGGGACAGGCCCAGGGACTCAGGCTGGGCAAGGCCACGGCTAGCAGCACCATCCACGTGTCCCCCACTGCAATCAGTCTGTCTACCAGCGTTCATTCAGGCTTCTCCAAGGGAGGTGCATTTTGGTTATTGCTTGGAGCCAGAGAACTACGACCCTGGCAGGGCTCCAAGGGCACCTACTCCAACAGTCTTGACCCGGACTGGAGAAGGGGGCGGAGACCTGTCACCACAAACTCCGTGGAACCAGCGCTTGTGACGCCGAGGGCAGTGCCTTCCCATGGCACGAGGAGATGGCGGCCTGCCCCGAGGGGAGGCACAGCTTTTGCATGACTTCAGAGGGCTTCGGTGGGACCCGAAAAGCTCCCACGTATGCCCAGGGCTGTGCTTGAAGGAAGGGGAGGGTCAGAGAATGACCATGGTCAGAGCCCATTGCCAGCGGTTTGGGATGTTGGCCCCACGTGCTCTTTGGGGGTGAAATTGCCAGCTAGAAAGAGTCTCGGGCAGCCAGCAATTCCACCTGTAGGAGTGGAAGCCAGGGCTCAGATGTTTGTGGGGCCGTGTTCGGAGCAGCATTACTCACCGTAGCCAACAGGTGGGAGTAACCCATCTGTCCGTCAACAGACGAAAGGATAGAAACAAATGGTCTGTCCACACAATGGACTATTCCTCAGCCTCGCCAAGGAAGGACATTTTGACACCTGCTGCCACATGGATGAACCGGAGGACATTATGCTGCGGGAATGGGGAGTTGTTTCATGTATGTGAAAGTTCTGGAGATGGACGGTGGTGACGGTCGCACAACATGGTGAATGTACTTCTTGCCATTGAACCGGACCCCCAAACATGGTGAAAATGGGAAGTTCTCTGTTACGTCTGCTTTACTACAATTGAAAAAGAAAAGCGTCTGGAGGCAGAATCACAGGGCCTGGAGCGAGAGGCCCAGACCCCTGGTTTCTCACCCCGTGCAAGGTGAATTGTCAGGGATCCTTGCCCGCTTGAGTATTTTGGGGTGTGCTGGGGGGGGAAGGGGGAGAAGTTTCTCATAAATCTGGGGAGGGAGGCCTGTGCCGTTGCTCCTATAGAGATGTCTCTCCAGCCACCTCCCCAGGAACGGGCTCAGGCCTGCAAGGAACCTCTGCTTCGCTGCCTTGTTGAGCTGGAACATCGAGGAAGAGAAGACGGGGAGCTGGGGGAAGGCAGGCCGAGCTCTCTGCTTGCAGGGGGCGTTCCAGGACTCGAGCTCCCTTGGAGCTTGAATTGGGCCATTTGGAGACCTGGCCTGTGGTGGTTCTGGCTTCCTGATCGCTCACAGTGAGGTTTGGGCACAAAAAGGTTGACAGCCTTGTGACTCTGATGTTTTGTGATGCTTCCCAGCCCTGACCAGCAAGTCACAGTCGTCTCTTTGTTCATATTACAGGCAGATGACAGGCTGCTTCCCGAGCTGGCTGGGGGGAGAACAGAGAGAGGACTCCCACCTGGCTCCCCTGAGTTCTCCAGCAGTGAGGGCCAGGCCCCCTCGGCGACGGGGCACATGTAGGCCCACACCCTGACCTTTACTGGCCCCTGCATGACTCCAGCAGGGAGGGTGAGGCCTGTCTGGGTGTAGCTGTCCCTGTCAGTGGTCAGTGGGTGGACAGGTGCTTGGGCCCCTGAGGGCCAGATTGTCCTTGCTCTCGGCAGAAGCCCTGGGGCTCCCATCCTGGGGCAGCAATCTCTGTCTCATGTACAAGGAAGTCCCGTTGCTGGGCATTGTGTCCTGAGATGCCATCTAGATAAGTCTCGGCAAAAGCAGCTGTGGGCAGGAAGGACTGCCACTGGGACCTTGCTGGGTCCTTTCCAGACTGAGTCAGTCCTGTGTGGTTGTTAGGTTTTCTTGCTACCAAGCAATGCCCTGGATTGCTGATAGAGGTTGACCTGGGCTCAGCTCTGCTGCTGCCTGAGGTCCAGAGAGACATTCCCTCCTCCCATTGTGTGGTCCTGGGGTCCTCCTCTGCGCATTGGGGCAGCTGTGCTCCTGGCTGTTGTTAGCGGTGATGGTCGGAGCCCATGGGACTGGCAAAAAAAGGGGTGTGGGCCACTCTTGGGCAATAGACTGCTTCCTGGGGCTTATGGTCCCAACTCAGTTCCTTGGGGGTACCAAGACCAGGAGTGGGAAGTTGAGGAGTGAACTGGGAAGAATCTGGCACCCGGGGCCACCCTGCCTGCCCTTGGCTTTCAAAGCTTTGGCGCAAGGTTGTATGGGCTCCCAGAGCCAGCGAGCCCTTAAGAAACCTATTTCAGTTCCTTTAAACTACTGGAAGTAACTTTGCCCCTGCTTGTGTTCCCTCTCTCGCTGTGTCTCTCTCTGTCAAGTAAATAAATGACATCTTTAAAAAAAAAAAAAATCTTCAGAGGAAAAAAAAAGAACAAAACCGCAAACCAACTCCTGAGGTATTGTAATAGCTACCATTGGCAGAATGCTTCCCACACACCTTTGTGAATACTTTATGTGTGATGAAAACACAGTGACCCCGCAGCATGTTATTAACCCCGTTTTGCAGGAGGTTTATAGAGGCTGAGTAATTTGTCCAAGGCCCCATAGCTGTAAGTGGCAGAGTTGGAATCCAAAGCCCCATGACCCAGTTTTGGAATCTGGGCTTTCCACAGGGCCCTAAGGCAGCAGGGAGAGCACAGGCCTTGAGTCTGAAGAATGCGGCTGTGGGCTAGCTGCTTCCCCTTACCAAGAGTTACCTAGCCATGACCCTGCCCCCTTCTAACCCGCTGATGTTTGCTGTGAGTCCCAGCAGATGCTTTGTGGGCTGGAAAGGATTGTGAGCAGTGAGCGTGGGGGGCTATGGTTATGGTTTGCCCTCAAGGGCCCAATCTGACCTGACCAGGACTTAGTAAACCTTACAACTACATAGCTCTGGCAAAATGCACATAACACAAAATTTACCATCTCTGTCATTTTTAATTACACACAATTCAGCAGTGTTAAATACAATCACATTGTTGTGCAACCAATCTCCAGAATTCTTTTCATCTTGCAAAACTGAAACTCTGTATCCATTAAATAGCGTCTCCCCATTCCCCTCTTTTCCCAGCCCCTGGCAACTACCATGCTACTTTCTGTATCTATAAATTTGACTATTCTAGGTACCTCACATAAATGAAATCATACAGTATTTGTCCTTTTGTGACTGGCTTATTTCACTTAGCATATAATATCCTTAAGGTTCATTCATGTTATAGCACGTGTTCAAATTTCGTTGCTTTTTTTTTTTAAGATTTTTTTTTTTTAATTTGACAGAGACACAGCGAGAGAGGGAACACAGCAGAGGGAGTGGGAGAGGGAGAAGCAGGCTTCCTGCTGAGCAGGGAGCCCGATGGAGGGCTCAATCCCAGGATACTGGGATCATGACCTGAGCCGAAGGCAGATGCTTAATGACTGAGCCACCCAGGTGCCCCAAATTTCCTTGCTTTTTAAGGCTGAATCGTATTCTGTTGTATGTAGTATTCACCAGTGAGTCCATCTCGGCCTGGTGCTTTCTCTTTTGGAAGATAATTTTTTTTTTATTTATTGATTCAATTTCTTTATTTTATTTATTTGACACAGAGCGAGAGCAGGAACATAAAGCAGGGGGAGTGGGAGAGGGAGAAGCAGGCTTCCCACCGAGCAGGGAGCCTGACGCGGGACTTGATCCCAGGACCCCAAGATCATGACCCGAGGCGAAAGCAGATGCTTAACAACTGAGCCACCCAGGTGCCCCTGATTCAATTTCTTTAATAGATATAGGCCTATTCAGATTGTGTGATTTTGTGTGAGTTTTGGCAGATTGTGTCTTGCAAGGAATTGGTCTATTTCATCTAGATTCTATGTGGACATGGAGTTGTTCATAGTATTCCTTTATTATCCTTTTAATGTCCATGGGCTCTGTACTGATGTCTCATTTTTCATTTCTGATATTAATAATTTGTATCTTCTCTCCTTTTCTTAGTAGCCTGGCTAGAGGCTTATCAATTTTGCAGATTTTTTTTTCAAAGAACCAGCTTTTGGTTTCACTGATTTTTTTCCTGTTGATTTTCTGTTTTCAATGTCATTGATATCTGCTTTAATTTTTTAAGGATTTTATTTATTTTTGAGAGAGAGAGAGAGAGTGGGGGGGGAGGAGCAGAGGGAGAGAGAGAATCTCAAGCAGACTCCCCACTGAGCACAGAGCCCAGTACGAGGCTCAATCCCATGACCCTGAGATCATGACCTGAGCCGAAACCAAGAGTCGGAAGTTCAACTGACTGAGCCACCCAGGGACCCCTGCTTTAATTTTTATTATTTCTTTTTTTCGACTTATCTTGGGCTTAATTTACTCTTGTGTTTTTCATTTCCCAAGAGGGAAGCTTAGATGATTGATTTTAGATGAACATTCATCTTGGTGAATGTTCCATTTGAGCGTGAGAAGAATGTGTGTTCCGTTGCTTTGGGATGGAATGTTCTGTAAATGTCTGTTAAGTCCACCTGTTATATTGAGTTAATTAATGGTGCTGTTGGGTTCAACTATGGTCATCCTGATTTTCTGCCTGTTCTATCTGTCCATTACTGATAGAGAGGTGACGAAGTCTCTGTGACACCGGATTCATCTATTTCTCCTTGCAGTTCTATCAGTTTTTGCCTCACATATATTGATGCTCTGTTAGGTACATACCAGTGTGTGTGTGTGTGTGTGTGTGTGTGTGTATCTGTTTATATACACATTTTATTTATCCCTTCATCTGTTGATGGGCACTTGGGTTCCACTTTCTATTTTGTGAATAATGCTGCTGTGAACATGGGTGTATGAATATCGCTTTGAGATCTTGCTTTCAATTATTTTTTTTCTGCTTTACTTTTTATTAAGATATAATTGACATGTAACATTATATTATAGGTATACAATAATTATTCAATGATCACTATAAAATGATTAACATCCATCACCACATATAGTTAAAAAATTTTCTTCTTGTGATGAGAACTTTTAAGGTCTACTCTCTTAGCAACTTCAAAATAAACAATACAGGGGCGCCTGGGTGGCTCAGTTGGTTAAGCATCTGCCTTCGGCTCAGGTCAAGATCCTGGGATCGAGCCCTGCATCGGGCTCCCTGCTCAGTGGGGACCCTGTTTCTCCTTCTGCCCCTCCCCCTGCTTGTGCTTGTGCTCTCTCTCTGTGTCAAATAAATAAAAATAAAAACCTTTAAAAAATAAAATAAACAATACAATATTAACTATAGTCACAATACTGTATATATCCATAGGACTTATTTATTTTGTAACTGGAAGTTTGTACCTTTTGACCACTTTGACCCATTTTGCCCAGCCCTGGCCCCTACCTCTGGCAACCATCACTCTAGTCTCTGTGTCTGAGTTAAGTTTGTTTGTTTGTTTTTTAGGCTCCATAAGTAAGGCTCTCTTATAAGTGTGATCATATGATATGTCTTTCTCTGACTTATTTCACTTAGCATAATGCCTTCAGGGTCCATCCATGTTGTCACAAATGGCCGGATTTCCTCCTTTTCAATGGTTGAATAATATTCCATTGTGTGTTCCATTCCATTCCACATCTTTTTTTTTTTTTTTTCATTCCACATCTTCTTTATCCATTCATCCATCAAAGGCCACGTAGGTTGTTTCCGTGTTTTGGCTATTGTAAATAATGCTGCAGTGAACATGGGGTACAGATATCTTTTTGGGTTAGTATTTTTGTTTTCTTTGGATAAATACCCGGAAGTGGAATTGTTGGATCATATGGTAGTTCTGTTCTTACTTTTTTGATGAACCTCCATACAGTTTCCTAGTGGCTGCACCAATTTACATTTCTATCAGCAGTGCATAGGGTTCCCTCTTCTCCTCATCCTTGTCAGAACTTGTTATTTCTTATCTTTTTGGTAACAGCCATTCTAACAGGTGTGAGATGATAGCTCATTAGTGATTTTGATTTGCATTTCCCTGATGATAA